CCAAAGTCTCTGTAATTCCTACCAAACAATCTTTTCCTGCATGTTTTTCAGTATCTTACCTCTAGGTGTGGCAAGAAACTGACAGAATACACTTGAGTAGCTGTTGATTGGATTCACTGTGATAGCCATCATGCTGGGTGTGAACGGAGTCTTCCAAAAAACAAGAGGACAGATTTTATTACCAGTAGGAGTAAAGTGCATCTTCTGGATCTTGAGAGCCCTGGGAGGTGAGCTTCATGGATACAGAACACAGCTGTGGCATCAGAAGAGTTACAGATGCGCAGCAGCAGCACCAAGAGCCAGAGTATGAGAACAGAGTAGCGACTCTCCAGTCCACAGAGCAAGCATAAGTGAGTAAGTACTCTTAGGCAGGAGGCTGGTATCTGGAGGTGTATGTCTCTGGACACTTAATTGAGGGACCTGGGTTTGCCGCCCCATGGAGTTGGAGCTGAGTGACTTCTGGTTGAGATTACTAGAGTGAGGTGCCATTAGGCACTTCAGGGAGCTGAGTTCACTCACAGAGCTGGAGCTGGGGGGCCTTTGCATAGAGGCTCACAATGGAGTGACATGCTCTTAGGGACTGTATCATTTTTGGTGTCCCCAAGTCAGTTTAGAATAATAGAAACCCTATGTAAAACAAAGCACACTAGTGCCCAGTCCTGCTCTATTCCCACAAATGTTCTCCAATTTGATTCCATTGTTACAGTCATTGTGTCAATCCAGCTCATTCAGTTTCTTCCTCTTTTTCACTGCCCCTCCACTTTACTGAGCATGATATTCTTCTCCAGAGTCCAGTCTCTCCTGATAACATGCCCAATATACTGAGACCATATCTCACCATCCTTCCTTCTAAGGTACGTCTGGTTGTACTTCTTTCAGGACAGAAATGTTTGGCAGTCCACAATATCTTCAGTATTTTTCACCAGTCCTACAAATCAAATTTATATTCTTCTTCTGTCTTCATTATTCCATGAAAAAGCTTCACAAATATATGAAGAAATTAAAAATATCTTGAACTGGGTCTGGCAGGCATACTTTAGTCCTCAAGTAGCATCCTTGCTTTTCAACACTTTAAACAGGTCTTGTGCAGAAAATTTACCCAATACAATACATACTTTGATTCCTTGTTTGCTGCTTCCATGATCATTGATCATTGATTGAAGCAAGATAAAGTCCTTGACAATGTCTATATTTTCTCTGTTTATCATGATGTTATCTATTGGTCCAGTTGTAGGATTTTTGTTTTCCATATATTGAGTTGTAATCCATCTTGAAATCAGCAAGTGCTTCCAGGGCTCCTCATTTTCAGTAAGCAAAGTTTTGTTACCTGCACATTGAAGATTAAAAAGCCTTCCTCTAATCGTGATGCTGCATTCTTTGTCATGTAATAGAGCTTCTCTGAACAATTGCTCAGCATATAGATGGAATAAGCATGAGGAGAGGATACAACTCTGACGCACACCTTTCTTATTTTAAACCATGATTTCTTTCCTTATCTTTGCAACTATCTCTCCATCCAGGCACATGTTCCATGTGAGCACAGTCAGGTCTTCTGGAATTCTTGCTCTTCTCAAGGCTCTTCATAGGTTGTTATGGTACACACAGACAAATGTCTTGCATAGCCAATAGAACACATGTAAACATTTTTCAGGTATGCTCTGCTTTCAGCCAATATCCATCTGGTATCAGAAATGATAGGGATTTTTTAGAAATCCTGAAAGAACTTTGAAATATTTTCTGACTGAACAAGTACATTATGAGAATTTCTCATCAGCATTGTAACTTGTTAACTTTCATAGAAAAACCTAAATTCTTGAGCAATTGTCTGTGAGTCCTGCGGGTCACTAAATTTAATTGTAACACAAAGAAGACAACATTGATAGTCTTGTATGAGATGGAACACAAGCAGTACATTTTAGAAGAGGTCCATCTCGTAGAACGGAGGAAAGTAATAATTCCAACTAGTAGGTTAAGATCCTTCACTCACTCTGATGAGTCACCACTGTCAACAGATGCTCTTACTCTTGGTAAATGGATTAAAAGAATGATTTCCTGTCTTTCCAATGATGTTGCTCAATCAAAATCGGTAGCACTGGCAGGAGAGGGGATTTAGATAAGTCGAGATTACATGTCAATATCCTGTCTGCAAAAAACAACAACGTAATTGAGAGGTTCTCTCAGATTCCACTTTCAAGGGCAACATACAGTTTTCCCAAAGCTTTAAGAAGATGAAACTCCCTGCAATGAATCATAATATTTTCCCACATAACTATACTTTTAAACATTAGTCAAGTGTACAATTTAATCATTATTCCATTAACTCAATTAATATTTATTGGACATTTACTACATGATAAGAATTCAGTTTAGAGCTGAGAATTCACAGAGGAACATGAGTCATAGACTTTCTGATAAATATTTTATTCTAATGAAGATGATCAAAACACAACTAAATAAATACATAAACATCATTAAAATTTGAATAAATAAGAGAAAATATGTAAATAGAAAATAAAATTATTGGAATTTCCAATTTCTTCATTTTTGGCATTCATGGTTGGCTAGTGCATAAACTTGAATAATATTAACATCAATTGATTTTATTTGTAGGCATATGGATTAACTTTTCCCTGAGCACATTACACTTAAAGATAGGTTTTGAATTTCTATTTTTTAAGTTGAATTCAGCTCCATTCTTCAATTTCTCATTCCCAGAATATAACCCCAAGATTCAACTTTATCATACCCTAATCTACCCATGTATTCTTGTCTCCTACTACTCCATTCACAACTATTTCATTCCCACACACTGGCTTCCTTGCCATTGCATATGGACACTTCAGACCCTCATACTTATTCTACACTCATTTCTTTTTTATTTTAAATCATTTTATTGGGGGCTCATACAATTCCCATCACAATCCATACATACATCCATTGTGTCAAGCACATATGTACATTTTTTTCCATCATCATTCTCAAAACACATGCCTTCCACCTGAGCCCTTAATATCGGCTGCTCATTTTCCCCTCCCCTCCCCACTCCCCCTCCCTCATGAACCCCCCATAATTCACAAATTATTATTATTTTGTCATAAGTTACACTGTCCGACATCTCCCCCTGCCCTCTTCTCTGCTGTCCATCCCCCAGGGAGGAGACTATATGTAGATTCTTGTAGTCAGTTCCCCCTTTCTACCCCACATTCTCTCCACCCTCCAGGCATCGCCACTCTCACCACTGGTCCTGAAGGAGTCATCTGTTCTGGATTCCCTGTGTTTCCAGTTGCTATCTGTACCAATATACATCCTCTGGTCTTGCCAGATTTGTAAGGCAGAACTGGGATCCTGATAGTGGGGGCGGGAGGAGGGAGCACTTAAGAACTAGAGGAAAGTTATATGTTTCATCGTTGCTACCCTGCACCCTCACTGGCTCATCTCCTCCCCACAACCCTTAAGTAAGGTGGTGTCCAGTTGCCTACTGATGGGCTTTGAGTCTCCACTCTGCACTCACCCACATTTACAATGATATGATTTTTTGTTCTTTTATGCTTTATACCTGATCCCTTCGACAGCTGGTGGTCACACAGGCTGGTGTGCTTCTTCCATGTGGGCTTTGTTGCTTCTGAGTTTACACTCATTTCTATCCTTACATATTACGTATCTTTAGGATAGCCTCATGAATTGTTTCTGTGTGTGTCACTATAAAACGCCATCATGATTAAATCTTTCCATTCTAATAGTTTGAAATCTGAGAACAAGAAATTCTGACAAACATTATCTTTTCTACTCTGTGTCTTAGCTTCAGAATTTTTCAGATAAGAAAATATTAAATATTTGTTAGTCCATGCTATTTTGTGGTGTATTTTCAAAATATATTTTATATACTATGAGCAAATATTTTGTCTGTGTTGGTAATTATCACTTTCTAACAAGAAAATATCAGAATAAAAGATATAATTTGAATCTTTAAAGATAGATGGTTGGCCCAAACAATTTTGAAATTGAATCCCAATAAGCTGGAAAATTAAACCCACAGAGTTCATTTTGACTCATAACGGTCTTATAGGAGGTTCCTGATACTGCAGATCTCTACAAGAGCAGACGGCCTCACTTTCCTTCCTCATGGCAATTGGTGTGTTTTGAACTGCAAGTCTTAAACCATAGCACCACATCGTCTGCCTTAGAATTCCAATACATTTCTGAGAGTTGTTATAGAAGACCAGTTATTGAGCTGAGGAATAGTCTATGAAGCACTATGTGTTTAATATCAATGGTATATGTTTGTTATTTTAATAGTAAACAATAAACAACTAGTCATTAATACTGATGTAGTAGCAATGATAGCTTTTTGGATTTGAATTTAGAAAGTATTTTTTAATGCTGTAAATTTGTTAAGAATTACCTAAATTAAAATTATAATTGAAAATCATCTACCCATTATTTTCTTGTTATTTAAAGTTTAAAATTAGTGCAGAAATGCAATTCTTCCCATTACAATATCTATGTATAGGATATCTATGTATAGATAGCTCTCTCTATTTATATATGAAGCATATTTGACCTGAAACTCTATTTTAGGTTTCTAGGCTACATTTTTCTTTTAATTTAATAATAATACACTAGTCATTCTTTATGTATGCGGTAGGATTATTGTAATATTAATTACGCATCTATCTTAATCTGAATGTGTTGGGTAGTATATATATACATGTTTGAAGGTAGCACATTCAGTATTTGTAAATAATAAAAACCATGTATGTTTAGAAATATTTATTACTTTACAATTTTATAGATTAGTGATCAAATTAATATGGAAAGCTAAAAGAACAGCACAATATATAATTATAATCTTGGTAAAGAAATTCTCTTCTTTGCAGCAAATCACAATAGTGTGCTATATATAGAAATGGAATCAGCCATTGTTTTCAAGCCTGCTAAATAAAACTGAACTCTTGGAATGGCATGCCACTTGACCTTCCGAGGTTTCACCAGCAGGATTTAACTTTGCAAAAGGAACAAACTTCCAAGTGCCTCTAGTTGATGTGACAGATTCTGCCACTAGTTCACACAATGTTCATAAGGCACAAATCCCTTTCTTCAGAACGCAAGAGAGAATTATTTTCCCAAGGAGGACACAAACTGAAAAATGACCTGAAAAACTTTCACTCCTTGTCAAAATTCGTGCTCGCTGCTGGATCCCTGAAACCAACTGCAGTGATCAAACATTCAAGAATCCCACACTTTGAGATCGAAATTCTTGATGCTCAAACAAGGAAGCAAGTGTGTATTGTGGATAAGGTGAGTTTTCTTTCTTTCTTTCTTTGAGAAACTTGTTTCATCTGCCCAAAAGATCATTGAGTGAAGGCTGACAAGAATGTGTCAAAAAGGATTTGTTCTTTTGCCCAGACTTTATAAAACAAAGTAAATTTACTTTATATATTGTTTCAAACAATATGCACTGCATCTTAGAATCCTAATGTTGGAGGTAGCTAGTTTTTAGATTTTTGCTTTCTGGCTAATGTAAGTCATTTTTTGGAGGTAAAATGTTTGAATTGGCTTAATTACTGAAAAGAGACAAACTCTTCTTTTATGAAAAGTTTATTTGTTTGATAACCACAAAGTGAAAATTTCTAAATAACCATGCCTTGCATAACATATGATTCATTTTTTTTTCATATTTACGGATGTTTCATTAAGCAAGAAGAAATATAATTTTCTTAGGTTTAAAAGTAAACACAAACAATTTCAGTATACCTTACGTTTGAAATGATCCAAGTCATTTAATTTATTAAGAGAAGGGTATTTTTAATAAAATAATATCTTCATTCATTTTGATTTATAGGAACTTTAAAAATATCTTTGTTTGAAAACAGAGAATTCTATTATTTATCCTTATAACCTTACTTTAGCTGTTTCCAAATAATAAGTAAAGAACAATTGCATATTGCTTTACAAGAAGAATGTACAAGGTTTTCTATATTTAGTTATTGAAATGATATGATCAGCTTATGCTATAATTTATATGATGATGCTATAATATTGTGAGTGATAATAGTTTTTGTTCATTAATAAAAAATAAATATTTATAATATTTCTAAATGTACACAGGTTATAAATGTCATAGGTTAGATTTGAAACCATTTCTACATAACTCAAAATTTGATACGTTTCTGTAATAGTACTGGGGTCATATGTGATTGATAAATATGCATTCATATTGATAATGACTGCTAAGTTAGTCCATAACCAAAGTAACCCAAAAGGTCTAGAGAAAGACCCCATAAAATTTCTAGGACAGTTGTCTTTCAGAAAGAAATTGCCAAGCCTTAAGTCCAGTGTGTTTCTGAGAGGGTTTGCACTGTGAACTTTTAGGTTAGTTGTACGGAACTTAACCATCTGTACTACCTGGAGATCTTAATAAGTACTACAAAATGTCATTTTAACTTTTGATTTCATGTGCTGTATAATGTTCTTATTTGATTTTATTATCTTTATAAAGTGTTTTGATTTCTTTTATAATACATCTTTCAGGAATAAGTCAAATAAAAAGAATATCACCATCCAGAAGTTGATATTTAATTATTAAATAAAACTTTACAAGAAGAATGAAACCAAACTGAGGAAACATGGTTATGAATGGAATGGGAATTACATGGTCAAAAATTACCTAAGACCAAAATTCTGAAACAAAGTTTAGTTTTTAGGCATTCAAACGCATGTGACTAGTTTGAAAAAAACTTGCTTCCACTAATGATATAAAAAATGAAAGGATTTCTAATTATTGCCTTTATACATTAAAATATATAGTCACCAATGTCTTATTTGAAACTAAAATGTGGTATTTTTCAATTATAGATATGATTTAAATGGGAAATATTAAGCATCAAAAAGCTAGTAAATTTGAGACATAAAGACATTAGCTAAGGAATCTCACACCTGAGCTATTCAAGTCTGGGTATTTGTATATCTAGTGGCAAACTCCAAAAGAAACTCAGCAAGCCAAATAACAATTCAAGTTGGACTCTTCTCTACTCTTTACTGCACAGTTAAAGCTAGACAATGTGCTACTTACACTCACATCTTTGACTTCTGAGAGCTGTGTTTATTTTATCTTGCTTATGTTTTCTAATTTGATTAATTATTTTTTGTAATGATGGCAAGCCATATAAGAGTAAAACAAACCTATATTTATCTCTATGCTTTTGCTTCATCATTTTTAACAGACTGTAAATATAGGAGAGGTTGATGTAGTTGTTCAATATACTATTTTTTCATACAATAATGAACAATTACATCATAAGCTCATATTAAGTGACTTTCTTTGGCATTGTCTCTATCCAGTATACAAAATGAGCATTATTTATGTCACCGTCTTTCAGTAAACATTATTTTATGCAGTAAGTAGTAAAAATTTAAAATTTGTACTTTTGAAGTATGCAATAATGGATTTGAATCCTGTTATGTCATTCATCAAAAACTCAAACGCACTGCCATCCATTCCATGCTGACTCAGAGTGACCCTGGGGACAGGGTAGAAATGGCCCTGTGAGTTTCTGAGACTGTAACTCATGACGGAATTAGAAAGCACGGTTGTTCCCCCTCTCAGCAGCTGGTGGTTTTGAACTGCTGACCTTTCAGTTATCAGACCCACGCAGAACCACTGGATCATAAGAGCTTCCAGAAAACCTCATAAGCTGAGATAAATCACAGCATAGTTGAAACAGATGATCTTTATTAAGAATTTTGGCTAATAAGGTTGCCCTTTAAGTTGACCGCACAGAGCAAGAATAATATATGTATTCACTTAGTATTATGACTTGAAGATAATAGGAATACATTTAAAATAATAGTTTTTTGTTGATTTAAATTTAATCATTTGGAGAAATTCAAATAAAAATACAAGGTAAGTTAAGTGATGAGTCTTATACCCCTAGAACACAATTTAAATTCAACTTCATATTTTGTTATCCATTTGCCTGCTCCTTTCACTGACTGGCATAGTGAGTTACATGCAGGGCTAGGAACAGCAAGGTGGGTCATTGGCAACCACCAGGCCCCAATTGGAGACAGGCGGAGCTTTCTACTGAGTGAAGAGTTATAGTCTTGGACACCCACAGGGGCGGTTCTCCCCTCCCTAGATGGTCGCTAAGACTCAGGATTGACTCAGTGGCCGTGCTTTTCATTCGTTTTTTTTCAGTGATTAGGTAATATATAATGTTTTCAAATATTATTAAGGGGTTCTGTGAATTTTATTTATAAATTTTGAACCAAAGCAGATAATCCATTTGACATCTATATATTGTAACACAATCTTTAAAGTGGACAACATATACATTCAACTAGTCATAAAGTAAAAGTATTGATTGAAATATTTGGGTTACTTGTATGCACGAAGTTCACTCATTCTCAAACAAACTAACACAACATCTTGTCTTGCCTCCGCTGTCATCTTCTGCTTTTGACCATCTGTTTTTGTTTACTCTCCTGACATGTTCCTGTTTTCTCTCTCTTTGGTCTCACCTAAATCCACTTCATTCCCCTGTTTTCCTGAACTATTTCTTAGAGTCTGAACATGTCAAGGTTACCTGGAGTGCTGTAATAAATAGCTTATAACCAAAGGTTTTCCTTCTTAAGCATTGTCTTAATATATATCAACAATGTTAATTGTGTTAATCACATCTTCTTTAAAATATTTTTGAAATATGGGTTCCAAGATAATACTAAATTATTTGTTGTTATGTTCCAAATCTTTCTTCTTCTTCCTCTTCACTGATTTGTTATCGCATGCTACTGGATGTGGTATGGGGTAAGGTTAACTTGGTATTAGAAACTTTCCAATATAGCAATTTGCCTCATTGAGTCCCTGATTTTCAAGTAACACATGTCTTTTGGAGATGGATGGCTGCAGGCTCTTATTGTTAAATTAAAGAGCAAATCCTTCTATTTATATATCTGTATATTTCCTAGGCACCTAACTCTATGTGTAATGAAAGTGGAAAACTTTGTCTTCCTCCAGAAACTTGTCACTCCCACAGAGATCTCCCAGTCAATAAATGACAGTTACACTCTCAGCTTAAGCAAAGCCTCTGGAGATATTATGACTCCTCCCTTAATCTCATGCTCCACATACCAACCATTGTGTGGGTGTGCCTTCAAAACACAAGTATGTTCAGACTGACACACCTTCACCACCAACTTTCAGAGAACTTCTAAAGCTTTCATCTGTTTTTGTACTTAGTTTGCTCAATATAATTTCTATATGGAAGCCAGGACTACCATGCCAAATTATGTCTGATAATATCATTAGCAATTAACAATTCATGTTTTCTTCATGGCTACTTTATTTGATTCTTTTTTTATCTGGATACTTTTTCTACCTATTTAAAAATCTCAAAGCTGGCCAAAATTATCTATACTCCTAATAATTTATTTCTCTAATAAAATGTATTGTTATCTAATTTTGTAACTATATATTCCTGTTTTTATTTCATCCTTTGATATGTTTCAGGAATATCTCAATTTCATGAAAGCACGAACTTTTGTTTTAAGCATTGTTAAGACACATTGTGACTTAGAACAGTGTGAGGCAGATGTGCACATCCTCACAGTATTGAATCAGTATTTGTTTACATAATGGATGGTAGTCCAGCGTTATATGGATTTGATCTAACATTCATATTTAGCAGTAATTGCGTTTACGTAGAGGAGCATGATTTTGTAAAAACATATGATTTTTGTCTAAATCTGTTTTGGAATCAATATGATCATGCGTATAGAAAAATCATTTCCTCAGGTCATTTCCTCATCTTATTTCCTCAGGTCATTTCACCAAGTGTTTGCTCTACCCCTCCTCCCCCAAAGACATACAAATCAAGCTTTGTAATAATATATAATTAACAAATAAATAATCATGTTCTACATATAAAAGATGACATATTTCTTATGCAGGATATTGCATATGAAGGTATTTTGTATTAAAATGCAGTTTATATCCAAATTGTTGAAGTATTTTACTCTTCAGATGGCTACTTTGCACTGTGACAAAGTTATAAGCATAAGAATAAACTGCTGTTAATTTTAAAGAAATGCTTTGAACATGAATTTATTTTAGTTAAATAATTTCATACCAAATCTTGAATGATAAAATAGAAGGTGATAAAGATTGTTAACAACAGTTTGTAAAATGCCATTATTTTTATGGAGACATCAAAGGATTCAAAATATTGTAGAAAAATAGATTGTAGAAATGTAACAATGAATTATTTCTAGTTGCTGGCAAGCCTCACCTCTCTTCTATTTTGTAAAGTGTCAGAAGCTTATCTATTGAGAGCTCAGTGATTCAAGAGCAGGGACTGAACTCAAACGGTCATGATATTATTTCATTCCGCTTTCTTCTTTTTAAAGAAATTGAGTTCAGAAGCTTTCTTCTTCCCCTTTCTTAATAGTTTCTTTATGGTTTTAATTACGAGAGCTTGTATAAGGAATCACTTGTGCCAATAAAGCAAAGCTCTCCATAATTATCTCGTCTTTCCAATAAAATAATATTAATTTTCAGTAGAAAATAGAATTAAAGAACATTAAGGGTGTAAGCAAATCCACAGTACAGATCACACTGTGGGTAGCGTGGGTGGTGATTTTGCGACCTTGTTGGTTCTAACATAGCCACTTTTGATGCATGACATTAGGCAGTCACTTAGCATATCCTGGCCTCAATTCTTCATCTGTAAAATGGAACGACATCTAATTAAAGTAGCAGAATGATGGTTTTTAATATAGTTTGAATATAGTAGTAAGGCTTTTTTCATTTTTCCCTCTTTTTTTAAAAACAAATCTTTATCTAATCCTCTGCCAATTCTCTCATCCTGAGCAGCCCTCTTGGTCCTACTTTTTATCAGACCTGTTGGGTGACAAAATTGAAAGCTCAGGGGATTAGGTAGGTCAGAATGTTAATATAAATGTGACACTTTTCCTGTGTTTTAGCAAGACATCTCAAAAGCAGGAATGGAGTGAATTCCAGGAACTTCAAGTAAGAAGAGCTCTGCGCTGGACAAACACATGTAAGACGGCTGTTGAAAGCAGCAGAGACACCAGTGTCCCCTCAAACAGAGCAGAGGGGCTGTGCTCCTGAGACCACGAGCCTGTGTGGACCATGAGACCATGAGACTGCATCTAAGTTTCTGGCAGAGGCCGAGGGACCAGAGGCTCAGAGGTTGAGCTCCAGGGAGAGATGTAGCTAGTCACTGCATCCTTTGTGTTTGCTGATGCTGATTTACGGAGATCAGTTAGATCCCCTTAGGAGTCCCATATGCTCGAGTTTTGTCTGTGAGTTTGGTGAGGTCATGGCAGCAGATTATTGGATTCAGCAGCAAAAGGAGAGTGTTATGGGAGCAATCGCTGGTGTCTGAAGAAAGGACAGAAAGATTGAAAGTGGACATCTGCCTACTTCTCCCTTGTGGAAATTGCCCTTGGCCTATTAGATGGAGTCTCATTTTCCTTTGCGTAGCCGAGGAGGTTAGATATGACCCTTTTCACCTTCCTGCTATATGCTACTAATCGAACGTGTTTTATGGCATGAAATTAGCACGTGTGATTTAAAAATTCTTTTGTTCAGTTTAATTTTATGTTAGGGCTGTCTGGCTTTCTATTTGGATATATATTTCAGAATAGAGGAGTTTATTCAAATAAATTATTTCTCCCTTTAAATTGAGGTAAAGTTGTTTCTGTTTGATTGTTTTCTATTTCTTTTTTTAATATGTGGAGGATGATCTAAGGAATCCTGGTGGCATATTGGGATACTTTGGGCAGTAACTGAAATGTCAGCAGGTCAAACGCACTAGTTGCTATTTGGGAGGGCTATCTATTTCTGTAAAATAAATGTCTTGGGAATCCAAAGGAGAAGTTCTACATCTGTCCTCTATGTCTTTCATTAACATTTTTTTTTCTTTCTTTTTTTTTTCTCTTCATTTCATTTATTTATTTATTTATTTAATCAATTTATTGGGGCTCATACAATTCGTCACAATACATAGATCAATTGTGTAAAGCACATCTATACATTTGTTGCCCTCATCATTCCCAAAATTTTCTTGCCTCTTGGGTTCCCGGAATCCGCTCATTTTCCTTTTTTTTTTAAATTTCCCCCCCCTCCCCTTCCCTTTCCCCCATGCACCCTTAATAATTTATAAATTATTATTGTATCTTATATTACACTGTCCGGCGCCTCCCTTCACCCACCCCGCTGCTGCCCGTCCCCCAGAGAGGAGGCCATATGCGGCTCCCTGTGATCCATTCCCCCTTACTACCTCCCCTTTCCCTCCTGATATCGCCCCCTTCACCCCCGGTCCTGAGAGTTTCTTCCATCCTACATTCCCTGCGCTTCCAATTCCCCTCTGTACCGCTGTGCATCATCTGGTCTAACCTTTAAACACCAAAGGCAGGGAGAAAAGTCATATCCTTGTCAATGAGGGTGGTGCGCAATGGAGACCCAATGTCCATCTCCAGACAACTGGACATACCTTGCAGAGGGGTAGTGGGGAGATGAGTCACTTAGGGTACAGTATAGCAACAATGAAGCTCACAATCTTCCTCTAGTTCTTAAACGCTTCCTCCCCCCAACTACCAGGACCCCAGTTTCGCCTTGCAGACCTGGTTAGACCAGATGATGCATTAACATTTTTTATTAAGATGAATTTAACTTAAATTTTGATTATTTTGATTTGTAATAAATTGAAGCAATTTCCATTACCACAGCCAGAAAATGTGCATACTGTAGTGGTTATTTGTTTTATTATATTATAGTAAAAATTTAAAAAAACCCATTCTTATATAATAAATTTCTAGTCTTGGAATACTTTAAAAAGAAATTAAATATCATTTTTTTCATCTTTTCCAGATTACCTCATTGAAATTTTACTTTTCACTACTATGGCAATCGTCTTTAAAATTTTTGGCTCACTTTGTTCCATGGTCTTAGTATGTACTACATCACATTGTGATCTAAAAAATAATTATTGTTCTATTTAGTGGTTCTTTGTGATCAAATTTCATTAAGGACAACTCTCTTTCTTAAATCTATTCATCCTAAAATTAGTATTCAATTTATGAGCAGTGACTTGAGACATTGATAAGAAAATATTTCAGCACTTCATACATCTCTAAAGCCTTTGGAGAGAGAGATCTCAAGGGACAGATGCACAAGTGGAAACATATTTATAGCGCATTATGATTTTAAATGTTCTCACATCTCTTGTTTCTGGGCACAGATGTGTTCCCCCAGCTCTTAAGCGCTATATTGTTAGAGACTTAGAAGTCATAACATATTTGTTACTGTAACTAAAGCAGCTAAGCTTTGTATAATACACTATTTTGGAAATGTAATTTTAGATACATATGTATTTATATTGAATTTTCCTTTTCCTACGAAATGTATGATATGTAGATAGTTACATGATACAAACTCAAATCTATGGAAGGCAAGAGTACTTTAAAATAATATTACCATGAAAATACTTTCTATGGACTATTATCAATGAGCTGCAAAAACAGTTTGCAAACTTAGGCCGTTCTTTTCATCCCTTCTTTCTTTTATTACTTCTTCATAATTCACGGAGCATCTTTCAGGTAATGGTTGCTGAAACAAACTCTGGGAATACCAATCTCAAAACAAAATATAACTAAACACATTTTAATATGTGCCATGTAGGTATTCAGGGTATTGGACAGAATAACGCATGCCTATTCAGTTCATTCTGATTCAGAATGGCCCCATAGCACAAAGCAGAACTGCTCCTTTTGAGGCTGCAAATGTTTATAGAAGCAAACTGCCTCTCTTTCTACGGGAATGTGAAGCACAGTGACATGTACATAGTGCAACTCAAGGCAATATGGTGAGGCTATAATGGAGATGTGAACAATGTGCTAACTGAGCCCATATGGCAAAATTATTTTTCTATTAAAAATATTGAGAACTGCTTAGTAACTTCTAATTCAGAAAAATCCCATAATACTGAAGGGTCATCATGGAGATGATTTTAAGTGTCTCTTGAAATAGGAAATTATCTTCCCTAAATATCTTATATTTCCAATCTGCTGTGCTTTAACTGAACACAAATGGCAATGAAATTACCTTTGGAGCATCTAGGGTTTAAAGAGGAAGACAAATATGAATTCCCCGAGCACTTAAGAGTTTCAAATGTGAATACCTTTCAGGATTCACACAAATACTATATTTTGTCAGTGGATTTTTAACTGCGCAGTCATTAATTAAGCTATAATCCCTGTTGACAAACAGAGATTCATGGGAGGCACCTGAACACAGTAGACTGACACCACTTCAGCATTATCAAGTCACACTCACTGGTTTCTTATCAGAGTCGGTTCCCTTAAAGACACATTTATTTTTAAATTGCTAGTGTAGCTGGATAACAAACCCTACTTGAAAACTGATCTACTTAAGTAAACAATGCTTCACTATTGCCTATTTGTAAACTCATCATTTCAACATTAGTTTGAGAAAGGAGTAAATTAATCCATTATTTTGGCTTTCAAAATTTATATTTAATTTTTCTCAATATGTACTTTTAGTTTTTACAAAGTTAAAAGCAATAATAATTATAACTATACTACAATATGCA